GGGCGGGGTTTGAGGTATTTGTTAGAAATGTTTACTCAATTCAAATTTATTAATTTTACAACTTTATTACGATCAGGTGATTGAGTTTCACTTCGCACATGGATATCTGGTCAGTACTTTCCTGTCGCCAATCACTAACCAACGGACAGATAAATACGGCGGAAGTCTTGACAACAGAATGCGTTTGGGTTTAGAAATTGCTGAAAGTGTGAGAAAAACTTTGCCGCAGAATATAGTGATCGGCGCCAGAGTTTCGGTCACCGATTATGTCGAGAATGGATGGGATATCAACCAAACCATTGAATTCGCCAAACAATTGAAGAAACTTGGCCTCGATTTTGTTGACTGCAGTTCAGGTGGTATTGTCTCTAACGTTGATTATCATCCGTTAAATACAAATGAAGTTCACATAAAGTCTGCGGCGAAAGTACAGAAAGAGGTGGGAATAGCGACCGCAGCCGTCGGCAAAATAACTGATCCACACTTCGCAGAGAAGATATTACAAGAGAATGGGGCGACACTTATATTCATTGGAAGGGCGTTCCTAAACAACCCTCACTGGCCTTATATGGCGGCCGACGCCTTGGCCAACGAGAAGACCTTTAAATACCCGAATCAATACGACTGGTGTATCGGTTGGAAGGGTTTCGCCAAATGGAGGAAAGATATATATAAAGATCAGAATAACAATTAATTTTAAAAGATTTGTTAATTATTTAAAAGTATAATATTTATTATTATAACTCAACAAACTAAAAAAATATATAGTATAATTTAGATCAATATATATTTTAGTTATGATATCTTATTTATAATTTTATAAAATTGGTTTTGCATTAATGAATTTTTAAAATAAAATATGTTTACAAATTATAATTAACATGCCTATCCTAATGCTTTGTCTAATTTCTAAAATCCGACGCCTTGGTCAAATACCCAAATTAATACGACTGGTGTATCGGTTTCCAAACCAAAGTTTTGCCAAATAAAGGAAAAATTATTAAAATATCAAAATAATAATTAAATTAAGATATTTTCGTTTTTGTGTTTAGGTAACATTTTGATTACGTATGTATTTAAATAGTATTAAAAATACCAACTTAAAAGCTTAAAATTTATTTTTAATGTAATTTTAAATTATAAATGTAATAGATGAAAAATTTTTTTGAAAACCAAATTTTGTTGAAAGAGATTCTAAATAAAGTTTGATTTGATTTGATTATTATTATAAATTTTATTACCATTTCTTATCAATATTATAACCTACATTACAAAATAATAAGCAACAATTGTTTAATAATTATACAGTAGTAAAGTATAACTTACATTTTAAGTATTATACAAACGGAGTTTTAAGATAAAATTTAAACAATTACATGCAATATATTGCACTAAAGTGTAGATAATTTATCACAAATCAAAACTTATTGATAATTAGCTCATAAATACAGTAATAAGTAATTTATGGCTTATTTGATCAATTAATGAGATACTATTTTCAAGTTCTTTGGAAACTCTTTAATATTAATAATTCTTGAAATATATTTATCGTTTATTTTCAAAGTAATCATTTGCTTGCGACTTATTTGAGCCAAATTGCGGCATGAATTGAGTAATAAATTGAGATTCAATTCTTTACAATTATAATCAATAGATATGGTATTGATTTTGCGACAAAACTGAAGAGCTTTGAGAGCACTTTCTTTGATTCTCTCGCCATTCATTGAAAGTGATCGCAATTTATCCAATTTAGACATAATTAGCACACATTTCTCACTGCATATCAAACAGTTATCGTCCATAAAAGGCTCGTCATCATTGAGATCGTCTACGAAATTCATGTTATTCTGCAGTAAATTATTATTATTTTCATTTGGATTCATAGCGTTTGCATTATTATTGTTATCATTAATAGCGTTGATATTGAGATTAGAGTTTGTCTCACAATTACAACATATTCTGTCAAAACTAAACTCCAAGTATTGAATATTTGGGAAAATATCATCCAAATTACGTAACATATAGGGATCAAAGTGTAGGTTTAGTTGAAGACATTTGACATTTGGCATAGTTTTTGTGATCAGCGATGATAAGTCAATACCATATTCA